AGCATTAATCGGTGGTTTCGTTACAGCTACAGCGATTAGCCCACACCTTAAAAGTCAGTTTAGTACTACGAACGCAATTAAACAAATTAACGATGCGTTTAAAATGTGAATTGAAAGCAACTTTTGGCATTGTAATTAAGAGGCGTTGCAGTGTTCCTGTCGAAGTGGATCATGTGCAAGGCTTCTCGAGGCGTTTCAGTGAACGGTGGTTGAACAGCCTAGCCTAATGCAAACGCCGTCGTTTAGTGGCTTGTTTTTGTACTCATCACAGCTGGCAGGTTAAGGTGGGTTATTGCTTAGACTTAATTGGTACACACGTAAACCGGCACTTTGAGTTACGCACTCGCATGAGTTTGTTTCGCCTTGCAATAACAAGGCCCCTTGTGGTGCAACGGAAAAAAAATCAGGTCTGAATTTCAGTGGGACCGAGACTCCTCCAGAGCTATCAATTACCGTTTGCTGGTACCTTGAAAGTCCAAAGACCATTGCATTTTTAGGTTTGTGGTCTCGTGATTAACGAAGTTTCATCTGAATGGTGAGCCTTCTAGTTTGTTTGAGTAGCACAGAACTCAAGGATTAGTGAATTGGAAAATACCTTTTTGTGGGTGCTTCTGTAATGGACCCTTCTAACTTTCCACAAAAAGGATCCCCGGCATTCAGAGAATTAGTGTCTGTAATCTGGAGAACAGTGTGGAAAAAACCACCTTTTCTAATAAGCATTTTAACGCCGTCTAGGGCTGAGGTCAGGACAGTCGTTTGCGCTTTTCGATAAAACGGTGCATTCAGTGGCGATTGGGTGCAAGACGCACGGTTCACCAGCTGAAACTCATAAAAATGCGTCACCGAAATCGCTGAAAAATGCAGAAACTTCGAAACATTTACCTACTATAACTGACCATTCTTTTCTTGAATATTTGCAAAAGAGTTGTAGAAGGAGATAGTCGAGTCACTAACTGAGCAATTAATCAAAGGCACCTATGCAGTTTGTAGAAGATTGAAAATAGGATCATGATTCGGTGCGTTCAAGTCCAATGTGGAATCTTTCATTAAAAGGAGCTACCAAATAATTTACCTGACGAACAATAAAGGATATTATGACTATTTGAAGGACAACACGATGGTTAACGCCCGTGTTTGGTCTTAGCAATGTGAAAACCTTACAATGCATACAAAAAACTAGATCTTTAGAGATTGCTTAAAATGACCTTGTTCTAGTACAACTGTCCTTATCATAACTCAAAAGGACAACCATGATGCACGCTGTCATAGAGGATAACATCAATGTCGTTTGAGATCCCCACACTCGACGGGTAATTTGTAGAACCAATTATGTGTGATATTACATTTTACATAAATGCTGAAGTCTGCTTCTAGGCCAGATATCTCAGTCGTCCAATCGCGAACGGCCACTTGCAGCTAGCGTATAATTTGCCAAACAGGTAACTATAGCCTTAATAATTGAGTGAGACCGCATTTGCTTTTCAATCACTTTGGGTCTTGATCTCTGGTTACCCTTCACTTGGGCTGCTCCTCAAGTTTGTTCAATCAGCTTTAACTACTGAGGCTTCTTAGCAACTGTTGACATAAGACTTTGTAGAATTTGTTAATTATGTACAGATATTTTCCCATTTTCTGTAAAAAGAAAGCCATGATAGTTTATTTTGCAACTATATATTGAATCGAGCAGTTGCTATTAGAGTGGTTGGTCGGTTTTATTTGAATTAATGGTCCTCGATTTTGGCGTATCTGAATTGCGGTGTATAGAGGTACCTTATCACAAATGTGACTACCACGAAAGTATTGGCGATAAATCGCAAATTAGGACGTAAGGTGCAAGAATGGTAATTCAATCAGCTACTACAAAAACAACTGAAGGGTTATCAATCATCCAAAGGTCTTCACTGGCCAGCATTATTCATCCACGCACTCTGTATCAAAGAGGCTAGCAAAATCGGCGTAACTGTGTGCAAAATCGGGCGTTTTGACGTGCATGCTGTCAGGCTTAGGTAAACTTGTTAAGTAATATAATATGCATTGCATGTTGGCCCCTTGATGAATACCTGTCAAGTCTGAAGGTTTTTGGCTGTTTCTGACGAAATAAAACACTTCTAGTTTGAACCAAGCCACAAGGTAAGTGTGGGCGTGACAGAGACGAGCCTGAACCAAGTTCCCGTTTCTTGCTTTCTGATTTTGCAATATAGGGTCTTAAATCAAGGCCTTTCTTTTGACAAGCTTCCGAGGAGTCGTGAGTGACGGCATCTTAAACTGCAAATTTTCTTCATTGTTGTACAAATGACAATTTTATTCCCATAATCAAAAATACGTGTTTTGATTTCTTCGCCATATTGTATTATATGTAGAAGCGCTTCGGTCGTTAGAACGGACGCCTGAAATTACACTCGCTCTAAATTTGGGGCAGATTTAGTTACTCTAAAAATTACTAGGTCAGCTGCATTTGATAACAAGTCGGTAGAATTTGTAGATCCCGCCAAGTTAGAAGTCATATCTTAGCTAAACTGGATAACTGAATGCATCTGGTTAAATCCAAGTAACACGCCCATCATTGTAAAATCTAATCATCTAGAATGCGTCAAAAGTCACGTGATAAATGACAATGTAAAAGTTCACCAAACACCCACCCAACCCCTGTGCTGAAGAGTTCCAAGCGTTGAGGCCTTGGTGATTGGGGCCTCTGAGGGTGCGTCTACCGTCCAGGTTGGCTTCTGTTCCACCGGTTAATAAATTGGACCTGGTGCAAAATGAACGCGATATTCTGCGCCCTCCCGTCATGAAGCCAAAGCGAAGCACTGCAGTTGCTTGTGTGAAAACTCGCTCGGTCGTTTCTCGCCAGGAGAACTTTACCGCTAACGTAAGTTTTTGAGGGTGTGCCTAGCCGACTAATGCCGACTTTGCTTCACTTCCCATGGTCAAGTTCGCAGAGCAAATTTTATTTGCAATTTATTAATGCCGTGAGAGATGCCATTGGGAGTGTTTAATTACAGATGGTGTCTCTGTTCACACACTCACACATGCACACACACACCTGATCTAACGCCTTGGACCTGCAAAGTGAGTACTGGGGGCTCGCTTTGATGTTGAAGTCAGTCTCTAAGATCTAGTGTGCTTGAATTTGATTTAATAGGTTTAACTTTTAGGGGTGTGAACACAAGTGATTTGGCTCACCCCTACCTGCAGAGTCTCAGGTTCCAGTGACTTTGCGTTTGCTGCCACTCAAACGTATCGATCATTTGCACCTTCTCATCTCAAGTGGCTCCATCTTACAGGTCTTCTTTGGAACTAGATTGATCTCGCTTTGCCAGTGAGCACATGGGCGTGTACAATAGGCCTTACCAAAGAATAGGGAGGATGCGTATATTGTTGAATCGGCGTACCAGTTCCGAAAGTTAGTTCAATTACCTCTGGTGGGAAGGCCTTGGTGCCTCCAGATTCATTTACTCACTTCTTAAGTTAGCATACTGGAGGTCACTGAAAATACAGGGGAATAATTCCATCCTCGGGTTACACACTAGGTGAGGACTTGACAGGTGCTGTGGCATCGACAGCAGCAGCCTACACGCTGTTACTGCCATTTCCCCAAGTGACAAGGAACGCTAACTTTATTTTTTGTCATTAAGGCAGTACACTTTCGGTTGTATAAGTAGTTGCAGTTACTTACGCAAGAAGACCCCTAGCACTTTTGTGTTAATCGTGCGGTCGTCTTCACGTCTGTCCCCGCCATCGCTTCAAAAGCATTTTTAATTTACTTTAACCTGTACTGTAAGGTGTTTACTTACATTTGGTTAATTAGGGGTAGAAAGACTTTAAAATATTTGAATGAAACTAATGTGCATTTATTTGTGAAAATACGATTAGACTTACACCAACTAAAATACATTTCACTCAAAATTAGAATGTCCATTCAAATAACCCGCTTCCAGTTGATGAAGTGATTAATCATTTTTACACTTCAGTTTAGACAATTTTTTAAAGCATTTTAGATCCGCGGGCTTGTTAGGCACCCGGTATAAAGCTTTAAGCTCCATGGGACAAGCCACAACGCCGTATATTCAGTTTAGTGTACGACTAAACCGCAATAGAACTCCTTCAGCACACACTTTTCCAAAACCTACGAGCCAATCTCTCAGAGGTAGTAACAAATGCGCAAATTTAGCCTTTCGCGAAGTTTGTCATTGTTGGGCCTTACCCTTCTTCCCTTCCTAAAGAATACAAGGTTACTGTTAGAGCATATTAATGGTGCTACTACGGTGTGTTAAGTAGATAATATTTAGGTCTCTGAAACTAAATTACCAGAGCAGGCATTATGTACTAGTAATTCGTGTCAATTGAAACTACCAACACATTTTATAAGTAAGCCTATTCTACGCACACCATAACTAAGGACTTCACACTGGTATCATGAGCGGAAGTCAAACACTGCCACTCCCACACCTACCTTGATTTCGGGACACACATTTCCCGTGCCTACACTACCGTCTCAGGTTGGACCTCAAAAACAACTGCAACTGTCATGACATCAGTAAGTTCCCATGTGGACAGCCAGTTCCCAAATATAAACTGATTTGGACAAAGCTACCTAACACATATATAGCAACGAGAAACACTAGTTTTGTGCACACACAGGACACCCGAATGGTGTCCGTGCCACCCCAGTGAGCTGAGGCTCCGACCCGACCCTGTGTTTTGCGACCTACTTCGGTCCCGAAGAGTCCACCGTGGTCTAGACTGAGGGGCTGTCGGTATGAGCACCACTACCAAAATGCTAAATTGACGTAGTAATTATTAGTTAGGAACCACCGGCCACCAGAAGCAGACCGTGCAGGGGCACGTGACCCTGGGCACCAAAGGGACAAATTAGTGCTGAAAAAGGTCACCGCCTGCAATTACACGCACACCCAAAACAATCACGAAAGCAATGAAAAATAACTTTCCAGATTAACAAAAGCTATTATTCCCATTAATTCAATTTCACTTTAAGAGATTCATTTGAAAACACATGTTTCGGCGACCTCCTTGCCGTCACAACGGTCACTGCGGCAAAAATACGGAGCAATTCTTGCCCTTGTATCCGGAGCCTCAGGGTCAAGTTTGGTCCAAGTGTACGATTCATAGTCTACTTGGAGATCAGGACTGAGATCGAAAATGAGACCAGTCCCACGCCACACCCACACACCACCGATTGTACTCTTGTTATTCTCACCGTATACGTTCATAACGGCGAAGCTGTACTTCTGCATCCTACAAAAGAAAATGACATGACAGACCCAGGAAAAAACAGACGAGTAGAGTCAAGAGACAAGCCTACTTTTCTAAGCGTTGGAACATGCCCCGAATAAGATTTGCCGACATGAATGTCATTTTAAGTTCTTCGGGATAATTATATTCGCAGTACCAGATGGAATCCGTAGTTGGGTCAAACTTTTCCCAGAAGAAAGGAAGCGCAACTGACTGTATATCCTCATTGCTGTAGACCTTTTTAAATTCATCGTAGTTAAAGGTGCCGGCAGGAAGGTTGGCAACAGGATTCTTAGAGGGTTTCGGAGGCCCTTCGTCTTCGCCTGAATCACCGCCAGTAGGTTTTTCGGGTTTCTGTTCCTTTTTTTTAGGCTCTTGCTTCTTTTTATCCTCCTTCTTTTCGCCACCCTTTTGGTGTTGCTGCTTTTGTGCATGTTTTGGATTAAATACAGGAGTTTTGGCACAAAGTTTCACCTCACCAACTACTTTCTTGACTTCAGGTTGATTGGCCACTGCAGTGAACCAACGAACAACATTAGGGTATGTAGACCGAGCACCCTCATCCAGAAGGTGTTCGAAGAGCACTTGAAGAACAGAAAAAAGTGTGAGATCAGCCTGTGTTATGTGCTCACCAACAAGAAAGGCCCTATATTAATTATGTTAGATGACCATGAGAGTACATACTTTGAGGAAAGGAGGTCATTCAGGAAAGTGAGCGCCTTTTTAATGTTATCCTGGGCCTTCGTTAACACTTGCCTGTTGCATTTTGTGGCGCCAAGGATCGGATAGAGCCACGCGGCAACGGATGGCATCAGAATGCGGTCAGTGAAATTAGCCCACTGAGTTACATACTGTTCGTGTTCACCACCTACACAGATGTCACAAAGAAAAAAACATGCCTCTTAGTTGCTTATTTCCAAGGTGATAAGCAATGGCATTTGCATCAAACAAGCAGGTGCCATCATTGCCACAGAAAAGGGGGGCAACATCAGCAGGGCAGTTCTTCAGGTCAGAGGGAAGTGACGATTCTCCGGGAGAATACTCAATGAGTTCAACTGAAGCTCCACTATAAGCGGCAGCCAACTGAGCTCTAAGAGCTTTATGGTAGTGTGGAGGTGCGTAAATTTTTCCTGAAACAACCATAATCGAGGGCGTACCAAAACCACGCTACAAAAAAGCCCGCTAGCCGAAAGCACCGCATGCGTCACAAGATCCACGATGCAGATAAACACAAATTTAAGAATTACCAGCAGGCACGTTAGGGATATTTGGGCAGGAATGTAAAACGCTTATTGTAAAAAATTGTTACAAATACAGACTTTTCTACTGTATCGAAAACCAGAACAAAAGTGATCTAAAAAGCATAAAATTTAAATTAATTAGATGGAGGCAAAATAAAAGGTGCCTGCAAATTCATCTTAAAAGTCTAAAATCAAAACGCCACCAAAATGTGAAAAGTTTTAGGAAAAGACTATGCACTGCTTTAAAAATTGTCTACTCTACCATCCACCTGAAAGTTCAAGTAAACTGTACGAAATCCGAGACGCTCTCTGCTTAAGACACTTTTAGAAAAAAAATCAATGTTGAAATATAGGGTAAAGAAAACAGATTCACCAAATACGAGAGCATTTTGGGATGATAATGTATGTTAATATTATAATAGCCCAAAATATTTGACGAAAATAGCCATCGCTTAGGCAGCCACAATTACTTCATGAAATTTTTATTTGCTTAAAGTGAATTTACCAGAGTAGCTGTATTCGGATGCGCACAAAACCAAATATTCACGCAACATGTTTTCTATATTTCTGCTGCCTACATATTTAATGAATTCAACTGGAAACTTTAGTAAAAAGAAGAAAAATTTTCATTTAAAGAACAACCAAAATCAATAAACACTCTAGACCAAAATTTATAACTTTCAATATTTTTTTCGCATAGTTTATGCGAATGAGCTCTTCATTATTGTGTTATCACACAGGGTCACACTAAATTTCTCTCGTCAAAAAAATTAAATTTTAGCTGTTTTAATATTTGAAGTGTTCCTAATTCAGGAGAATTAAGGTTTTATTGAAATATTAATATTCAATCATCGAATATGTGCTTAAGCATATTTAGAGTATATACCTTAATTTTTTCAACTTATTTATTGGGATAACGGAGAATTCTTTACCAGGACGTACGCATTGCACCGGGGAACGAAGGTTACCACACAAAAACGCACGGATGCATGATTGAATAATAGGGTGAAACGGTTTGCTTTCACATGCACCAATACTACCATCATTGGAGCACGGCTAGAAAGTGAAACCTTGTTTTGGCCGGGGGTGCTAAATGCTCTTAAACAAATGATGCTTTATGCGAACCGTGTGTGGCGTCGGATCAAGGCGCAGACATACTGGACCACCTGGCCTCAGCTAATCCTGTGTCCCTCTATGTTCCAATGGCATGCGAGAAAGGTAAGCAGCCAACCAGAGAAGGATACGACTGAGGAGCAGTATATAATGAGCTGCGTGGCCAGCGTGTGGACTCGGGCGAAAGGCGCCTGACGTGTGTCTCTGGCTCGTGATTGATCAATAAAGCCTGTTCTATTGTACCAGTCTTTTTCCTATTATGGCTCGGGTATTCTACACGTGTTAAGTTGTTTAATAAGCTGGTGGGTTATCCTGTCAATGCTCATTTCCTTGCTTTTTTGCAGATTATAAGGGTTCTGGACGTACCCAATGTGTTGTTATAAGCCAAATGAAGAACATGTGCAGGGGGACAGAACTCTAAAATTATACCTGACTGACATCGAAAGATTACATCGGATTTGCAAAAACTAAAAAACACTTTTTGTGAGTAAAGATTAATTTAGCAAAAATGTCCTTAATATATTTTTATACCAATGTAACAAACAGCATTTAGTGACGCTACTGTAAGTTTTCAACAAGAGTAAGAAACTTCGAGCATTAATGAAAACTTGTCCAATTGTTTGTCATGAATTTGTTAAGGCAACGTCAATTTTTTCGAAAAGTATGTATTTTGCGAAATGACAAACAGCAAATACCTCTAGTTAGATATAGGCAAATTAAAATTTTGGATCCTTTAATTTCCTTAAAAAAATTTATGTTTGTATATTGCAAATCGGTGACAATAACTATTTTCTTTGCATACATTTTTGTTGAAGGCGGTGGATTTGATAGCAAGTATTGATGGCGTTTCGTCGACTCTGTCCCTGTGTACCTAGGTTGATTAGGGTTTGCTTCTTAGTTTTACTACTATTTCCCGTAGTTCGCCGGATCTCGTGGCATCGGTACTGCAACCAATTATGCTCCTACTATTGAGTCGGCACATGTACCACCAACTGAAGTCAGCACGTTGAAAAATGGGTTCCGAATCGCTTCGGAGAATTGGAATATGCCTACATGCACTGTAAGACTAGATATTTTTTGAAAGGTCATTTCTACAGGTTGGAGTCTGGATTGATGTCGGCAGTCGCTTCGAAACAGAGGCTAATAACGGTGTTGCACATTTTCTTGAGCACATGGCTTTCAAGGGCACAGATAAACGCACACAGCAATCATTGGAAGCTGAAGTTGAAAATAAAGGGGCCCATTTAAATGCATACACATCGAGAGAAATGACTGTTTACTACGCTAAGTGCTTTTCTAAGGATTTACCTTGGGGTACCTGTTGTATCCTAATTTGATTGATAATCTTAGCGTGTGAACTTATTTCTGATATCATCAAGAACAGCAGGCTTGACCAGCAGCAAGTCGAACGTGAGAGAAGTGTCATTTTAAGAGAAATGGAAGAAGTAGAGAGCAATTATCAAGAGGTTGTTTTCGACTATTTGCATGCCACAGCTTACCAAGGCACGCCTCTCGGTCGTACCATTTTGGGGCCAACTGAAAATGTCAAGTCGCTCCAACCTCGCGATATTCGCAATTTTGTAAGAGCCAATTATAAGGCTCCAAGAATGGTCCTCACCGCCGCAGGGGGTTTGTCGCATAATTGCCTTCATTGTTCTTAGGTGTTGATCACAACCAATTAAGAGATTTGGGGGAAGAGTATTTCGGTGATATCTCGGCCATCTACGATTCTGGTGATGGTACATCGGGTATTTCACCGTGTAGATTCACTGGCTCCGAAATCCGCGATCGCGATGATGCAATGCCACTTGCCCATGTTGCTCTTGCTTTTGAGGGCCCAGGTTGGTCGGACCCGGACACTTTGGCTCTAATGGTGGGAAGTAGCATCAATGGTGCGTGGGATAGAACACACGGAGGGGGCTCCAATGTTGCGAGCCACCTAGCTAGCAAATTCTTTGATCAGGGCAGCGTACACAGCTACCAACACTTTTTCACATGTTACCACGACACCTCGCTTTGGTGAGTTACCTGTCATAGTAATGTACTTACTCTCTACAGGGGCGTGTATTTCACCAGCGAAAAGATGGGATTGGATGAAGCAGTTGGTTCTTTTACGAAAGAAATGGTTCGTATGAGCACACAGATAACGGATAACGAAGTGTCTCGGGCAAAGAATCAACTCAAAACCCACCTCATGCTTCAGCTGGATGGAACCACACCCATATGTGAAGACATTGGACGCCAAATGCTTGTTTATGGACGCCGCGTACCTATAAGCGAAATGCTCACGAGAATTGACGTATGTACCCCACGAGTACTGTTTCCTTCCTTTCGTGGTTTGACTCCACATGCCAACCTTTTCCCTTCAGGCCATCAATGCTGAGAAACTCAAGGAGGTCTGCTCCAAATACATTTTTGATCGGTGCCCGGCAGTTGCCTCGATCGGTAAGTTACTTCGTGAAGGGCGTTTTTTAACTCCTATCACGCTGGTGCCCATCTTCCAGTTTAAGTACACTTGTCTCATCCTTATATTAGGACCCATTGAAGTACTGCCGGATTATAATCGCATCCGTGATCAAACGTGGTGGCTGCGCCTCTAATATGTCGAATTTGTGCCGTCGAACCCTCAGGTCATTTATACGCTTGCGTAACAAACTTTCCCTTTCTATTTAAGTCTGAAATTAGTTCACTAAATACCTTCTATAATATACAAAAATGAAAAAAGTACTCGTCTACGCATATCACCACTTTAATGATGAAGGACTGGTGATTTCTATTTTGGGTACCACCCTGTAGGTTGTGTGAATTTTTGAATCTGAATCTGTCAATTTGAGTAAACATCGCGCGGGGTCGCTTGTGAGTACGTCTCTTTCCTCCAGCGAGAAGTAGGCCTGGGTCACGTAGGCGAGATCGACCTTTGCCTGGGCCCCTCCGTTAAGGCAACCTGGAACGGCCAAAAAAATGAGATGAAGTAATCAAGGCTGACTTTATTTGGTCGATTTTGGTTAAAGCGGAAGGTGCAGCTACTTGGTATGACAGGCTCCCTACCTTGTGCGCATCAGAAATGGGGGCGATGCCTCGTGGCGCGTTGCATAGTAAGGCCGCCTTCCTGGATTTATAGCAGTGTTGATTTGCTTAGCCCAAAAGCACTGTAATTTAGATTTATAAGAACTCCTACTAGGCCAATACTGGGCAATTCAGACTGTCGTGGTGACGCGGCGAACACAATTTCGCCATCTTTTCCAGTGACACTGGGATTCAACAACCTATCTCCGCACATAAATCATGGTTCTGGGAAGGACGGTCACTACCACTCAAACCAAACAGAAATTAAAAGGTGCCCAGAGGAAAGAGCTACAGGTTGTCTCCGGGTCTTGTTCCCGAAATAGCATCAAGGGGACTAGGGGGTGTTTCAACTCACCGTTCGGACAGGCCATAATCTCAATGTAGTCAAAAGGAACTTCGGCGCGAACAGATGAACGACTTAGGTTCGCCTTCGTGTACGCCCGCTTCAGCTGCTGAACGACTGTTTGGATGTTGCGAAAGCCATTAGCGACCAAAAACGCCAACAAAGGAGCTGGGTTTGTAGCTGCGTGTCGATAGGGAGTGCGTCCGCTGAGACCAGCTTTGGCTGCTGTGCAATCCTCGGCGCTGCTGAACAGCAGGATTTCCTGCGCGAAACCATTTGAGAAAGGCATGAAGTGAGCTTTCACAGTAGTAATTTATAAAAACTACTTGATTTTAACAATATGCCGCGTGGCAATACCGCAAACGGCAATCTCCGGAGCACAGTTTAGCTACGAAACGCTTTTTTTGGAAATCGGGAGGCTTCAACCAAATTTCGTCCACAAATGGTAGAGTAATCGAAGTCCAACACAGTGGCTTCTCGTCAAGTAAAAAAAATAAGATGCCCGCGATAGGACGTTGGCAGATATACCTGTCCGCTAGTCACATCCACACCTTGGTTCAAAAGATATGACCTATTCTAAGGTGGTGAAGGCAGTCGCGTAAGGATCATTTTCAGAGGCTTTGCAATGGAATCACAATGTGATAAATAAGTAACGAAACATGACTGTATGCCCACAACACCAATTTGCAGTTATAAGGACACAGCTCCCGTTATACACATGTGCAATAGGTGAATCTGTGATTCGTTTAAGACCCACTAGGCCCTCTGTGCAAATACTCCGAAGTAGGTATTGTGCAAAAACAAACGTGGCCAACGAATCGAAAGATGATGCTGGACTTCCTATTTCCAGTCCCCTTAGAGAGGACGCAGAGTAATTGACCGAAGTCTACTACAAGACCCACCTGCATGTCCTGATTGCCGAGTTTACGGGTCAAAACTCGGGGATCGTCAGTGACTGAGACCGGCAACGTGATCTGAAAGAGCTTATCGGCAGCGAAACGCAGTGTGTGGAAAGCATAACCACCTGAGCCTGAACCCGCATGACGATACATTCGATCGGGGAGGGGTGCGTCGGGAGTCAATCGAGAGGACAACATGCACAGCACCCTAAATGTAAAAAGAGCAGTAGACAGGTGGTTCGCCGTGATGGAAGTCACTCGAATGAGCAACAGATTACGTGATTCAAATTGGGTTAATCAAAAGTTACCGTGTGAACTAGCTGGGGTCATGACCGGTAGAATTAGTACGTTTGAGAGGGTTTAGTCAAACATGAAATTTAACAGCTGACGACATTGCTTCGATAAAGCGATTCTTCGAATACAAAAGAGTAGAAATTTTATAAACCGAAGATGATGCTTTAAATTCGAGTTGAATGAAACAATTAGCTGCACTAAAACAACTTCACACAATTAGAATGATGACGTTTTCTCAATAAATCCATGATAACCCACCATAACCGGTATAAGAGTCTCGCCACCCACAACTACCACTGCAACAAAGAGGAGGGGCTCAATTACAAGCAACTTGCAATTACCATAAACTGAAATCGTTAAAACGTGAGATCATTGCAAGTGTCGTACCCGGCTCAGTTTCATCTTCCAAATAACCCGGGCGCCCACGAGCACTATGATATATGTTATGGTTTGGCCTAGCTATGAAGGGATCTTCTCATCAGGTGTCGCATGTGCGCAAAGGCACAAGGTTATCGATTAAAGCTTGGTGTGGAACCCGCGATTCGTTCAATGAATAATTGGAGTTTGAGCGCATACGAAAGCCACAACTATCAATTCTGCTTTCGTACAGCACGCCTAACACAATGATCCGGCCGCCTTAAGTAACAGATAGACACACAAGACTACCAATAAAACAGAGAGCCACTAACAAACCGTACAACCCACTTTCTATAGAGCCAAGAACTAGGTGAACAAAACTTGGAAAATCCGCACGTACAAAAAGCCAGATGCTAACCTTTGACAATGAGAAGCAGTTTCAGATGACGTCTCCACAGTAGGTAGAGACGGTTCTTGAAGCAATAATTCAAGAACAGAGATAAACTCGTTCGTACCTAGCACTAAGTCAGCTTCTTTTTCTACGCCATCGGGCAAGGTGAACTCATTGCGTGAAGCCTCCAACTTTTTGTCGTAGCACGGCATCACGAAAACCAGAAAAGGTGACTTCGAGCAAGACACTGAACTTGTGAGTTGCTTCAGCAAACCGGCAAGCAACTGCTGCGGTGAACGGATCTTTGACAGATGCTGAATGAGATGAGATCCCTCCTCATCAGTCCCCGCTTGAACACGATTTTCTGACCCCGGTAGCCCCTTGAAGTGAGTTTTCTCTGCATAACAGACCCAACCTAGGAGCACAATAAGGCACAGTGTGAGGCCTGACTAAACTGCAGTGGGATCACATTCACGGCAACGACAGACCTGGACAAATTCCAGTAAGGACAGGCATATGTGGAGCAGAAGAATTCCCACTGAAGGCCTGAACGAATTCCTCAGCAGAGGCAGACAGTGATAGATCGCGGCTCCATGTAGTATCAAGAACGTGGGTGACTCCGTGTGTCCTTAGAAGACGCACACAAAAGTTTCGAACACCGTCTAATCCATCGGGTGATAATCCACTGGCCACAAATGACTCCGAAAGGGTTGACGGTTTGCCCACATTCAAAGAGGCAGCCAGACTCGCAAGTGATTGGGGTGACAAAGAAACCACAATCTCGCGCCCGGGATCAGGGTTCTTTCAAGAGCAAAGCACATTACGTGATGCAGTGTAATGGTCAACACAAAAGGACGCATTTCAGGAAATTTGCGGTAACAATTTGGTGCAGTAAAGATGGATCAAATTTCTGTGAGACAGTGATTTATAGGTCAAAGCTAGAATACAAGTATCATGAATGGATGGTAAAGCTGACAAGAATGTCGATTGCATGCAGTAATTAAATCGACCTGTAGGATAGTCATGGATTTTCTTCACGAAAGCGTAAATATGCTTATTTCACGGTATTTTTATCCAGTACGGTTTAACCTCAAGCATAAGAAGCAACTACTTTCGGTAAGCGGAGCCATCAAAGCATGTGTCGAATCTCATGAAAGTTTTGTGAGATTTACCATGCACCAAATCTCTAGTGAACGAGTTAATTACTAAGTCAATTAATGGATAAATCAATTTCGCGAAAGTTAAACCATGCACATTCATGTAAAGGTTTAAATGCTTCGTTCTAAGGTGTAGTAAAGATATGAAAAATAAAGAAACCGCACCTTGAGCAGATTAAGGAAGGCTTCGACACTGTGTTGAGACACAAGAATTGTCTCCGCGGTGGTTATGCATCCACTGCAGGCAAGACAGTCATTAAGGTCGATCTTGGCTTTTGGTAAAACGTACTTTTCACCCGAAGAATTTGTGGCTACATAGGAACCGTCCTTGCCGATGACGATTGATTTGGTTTTACCAACAGAAGAGGGAATTTTGACAGGCTTTATACATTCCTGGAAATGAAGAAGAAGACTGAGAATGAAGAAGACTACTACTAAATACTACCATTCATTAGAGATAGAAATAGGCTTAGTAGACACGTGTTTTGAATATGGAATTTGCGAATGACATTAAGTAGTGGGAAAATAAAACAGGCTTCCACTATTATGCACTAACACTCATGCTCACTGGGCTCTACATGGTGCATTTTTAAAACAGAAAAAATGATTGTCTTTTAAAAAATAAAAGTGGGGACTGCTGAAAATCACGAAAACAACTTCGCACTAGCCATAGTTTCATGATCATTAAAGCCAGATTTCATCCATTTCAATAAAGAAAAGCACTTTAGGCTAAAGAGTTCAAAAGAAGCACTGGTATTTATTTTGAACACCTCAAGCAAATATGCCTTACCACTAATTACAGGCGGGGCTAAAAAAGGGCACTTAAATTGGTTTTCAATGAATTAGTTTATCATATTACTGTTCTTTCATCCAACAGAGTGTGAAATGCAGCGTCCACCAATGTGAAACAAATGTAAGGACGAGGAGAATCGCCACAAGCACTTCATAAAGACAAAGCAATTGTAAAATCAGGATTCGCCATTCAATTGGTTGCAATTAAATCGGCACAGTAATGAAAACAAGGCAACTTCCAGGAAGCTTAATAGACATTCGTGAGAGAAAACTAAAAGACGCGAAACTTTCATCAAATAACCATGCACGACAGTTCTTCTAAAACGCTCAATACTGTGTCAGCTACATAAACGCATGGCTGCTAGCGACGAGAGAAACTTCCTCACAACGCCGTCGGCCCGTCCAATACGACGCCCACCAGGGGTTTTTTATATAACGGTAGACTAATGTTACCACCACCATTCTTGTAGACATAAACATTCAGACATACAATTCCAACTAGCGCATTTTTAATTTCCTCAAGTAAAGGAAATTGATGCACACATTCATTGACTTATTATTAACCGCTAAACAATGACCAGTGGTTGCCATTTTTGCCAGCTACACAAATTAACGACGTAAATAACTTTGGCCCCTATTACACCGCAGACCTCCTTAGACCAGTTACGCAAAAAACACTGAATGGATTTTTTAAATTATTTACACGGTTAAGTCTGCTAATCTCAAACCCGAATAAAAAAAACTAGTTTCGAAATGAATCGGACGCAAATTCACCCACACGTAGGAAAATCAATTGTAACATAAAATCGCATAAACTGGAATAACTGTTATGAGTTTGACAAATTAATACGTTGCATTTTAACTCAGTAATATGCTCGAATTTGAGTAAATGCACTATCCATTTACAAAATAATACAGGGTTGCGCGTACACTTCAACCGTATTATTACGTACAAGCGATGGTGTGATGTAGTCGTCAACATCATTCAGCTTCAGTGCCGTGGAAAAGTTCATTTGGTTTATAATAAAAAAACCGTTGTGGTGTGGTGTGGTGTAGTGTGGCGTCGGATCTGGGCGCAGACATGGTGGACCACCTGGCCTCAGCCAATCCCGTGTCTCTCTGCGATCCAATGGCATGCGGGAAAGGAAGGCAGCCAACCAGAGAAGGACATGGATGAGATGCAGTGTATAATGAGCGGCGTGGCCAGCGCGGTAGACTCGGATGGAAGGCGCCTGGCATGTGGCTCTGGCTTGTGATTGGTCAATAAAGCTTGTTCTGTTGTACCAGGCTTCTTCCTATTAGGGCTCGGGTATTTTACACTGCAGTATGGTAACGTCCGACGACGCAGACATATTGGAACGCGCAGGCCTTAGGCAATCCTTTGTCTCTTCCTAATCCAATGGCATGCGAGGAAGACATGCATTGAATTAGAAAAGCACACTCATAAAAATCAGTATATAATGTGCGGCTTGGCCAGCCTGGTGGACTCGGCTGGAAGGCGCCTGACATGAGGTTCTTTTCTTGTGATTAGTCAATAAAGCCTGTTATGTTGTACCAAACTACTTCGTACAAGAGATCGGGCATTCAACATTGGTGACAGCTGATGCGTTTGAGCAACGCGAATCAAACCTTAGCCCTATCCCTAAACTGTATAACATAGGCACAGACCCTTAAATGCCAGTAGAAGTTGTCCCATACTCTGGACCCATAAGCATTGCCCGGGATTATGACTACTGCATCTGAAGAAACATTGGCAGCTCGGAGACGACGACAAGGACAGTAGAAGCCAGTAGGACAGTAAGTGGAGAAGTAACCTGTGAAAGATGAAGCGGCCTTTCAAAGAGTGTGCCAGAGCAAAGTCCTTCGTCAACTGTTCGCTTGGACCCCTATCCTGCCTGATGTGGTGTGTCGGGGGGTGTCGAACTGGATGCATCGTCAATCACTAACAGGTCGGGGAATCAAGCCAGAAGCTGGTAACAAATTTACTCCTGAGGGGAAGGCAGTGTATCGACGTATTAGGGCGCAGACGTATCTGCGCTCTAATGGCATGCGAGGAATGAATGCAGCCAGCCAGATAAAGTCTCGAATTAGTTTCACTTTTGATACTTAACTTCTCTGCACGCAGCTGACTTGAATAATGCTCTTTATCCGAGCTCTGGTCTTGTTATTGTACTAGCGTGGGAAGGTCGGTTCAAACTTCAGATAGGGATCTGGCACCGTTATTTGAGTGGTGTTCTCTTTGTTAAGGGCAAAAGTAACAGGCAATTAATAAACGGCGTAGCCAGCCTTATGGACTTGGATGTACGGTGCCTAAAGTGTGGTTCTGGCTAGTCATTAGTCCCTAAAGCCTGTTCTGTTGCGCCAGTCTACTTAATACTAGGGCTCGGGTATTCTACACTACACTGCCTCCCCCTCAGGCGGAAGCTGTCCTTAGCTTCTGGCTTTATTCCACGGAATTTTAATGATTGATCAAATATCCATTTCAACACTTCTCGATACCCCACACTTGGCAGGATATTCACAGATGTGGGGTATAGTAGACGAGGCGAATCGCTCTTGTGGGCTTGCAGGAAGGCTGCTTCATCCATCGCAGGTTCCTTCACCACTTTCAGTCCAATTGGCTTCTCCTCGTCGTCGCTAAATTGACCAATGCCTCATCAGATGCATCTGTTCAAATACCAGTCATTGCCAATGGATACACTGCTTTTGATATCGGATGACCCGCCATGACAACTTTAGCTGGCATCTGTGGGACATGGCCTCTGTTGTCAATTGTAGGAAAGGTGTTAGTATTTGATTCGCGTTATACAATCGCATCTGCAGCAACCAATCTAAAATACTCGAGCCTGGTACGAAGAAGACTGTTACTACAAAACAGGCTTAACCTATCAAGCACCGAGTATTTGAGTCCACCAAGCTTGCTATGGTGCTAATTATATTCAGCTTCACATTCGTGTCTGTGGTTGGCTGCTTATCTTCCTCTAATGCCATAGGAACGCGGAGGGACAGATGATTGGCTGCGGCCAGCTTGGCGCAGTATGTCTACACCCTTTTATGGGTCGCTATAGCAGTTGAATATCCAAGCCTAAGATGATTGGTACAATAAAACAGGCATTATTGACCAATCACAAGTTAGAACCACACTTGTGATGCGCCGTTTATCCGAGTCCACCACGCAGGCCATGCAGCACGTTATATACTGCTCCTAATTTAAGTCCTTCTCTGGTTGGCTAACTATCTTCCTTGCATGCCATTAGAACGCAGAGAGACAGACGATTGGCTGGGGCATATCCGGACCGATATATCTGCGCCCCAGACGTCGCCGTAGTCGCTACACTGCACTATAAATATAGGGAGCGATTGAAACGCTTTGTATTTGCTATCAGCAATGAAGCTTGCAATCGTAAGTAGTTAGTATTAGACGTTTGTGCGTTGGCTTTTCTTCCTATTTCCTTCTTGTGTTGTTGGTTGAGATTTTCTGAATTCGATGTGTGACTTGCACCGTAGCAGAATTGACGTGGTTTTCGTCTTCAAATTCTACGATAAACATTTAAACAGACCTGTTGAAACGATGATCTGCTTAGAGATTTTGTTTTTAAGATCACTTGAAAAGATATGTCGTGTATAATGATATTTTCTGGCAAATCCTGTCCATTATTCTCTCATCTTTGGAAAGGAAGTGAACTCCATAATTGAGATGCGAGTCAATTGTGTGGTATCTACATTACAGATAGTAGAGTAGACCTACAATGTAGATAATCACTTAGTAGCTAGCTTGGGAGTGTCAATTATTATTCGTGCTGAATAAGTCACTAAAAGAAGCAGTCAAAATTCTCGAGGCTGTCGCTATCAGCAAGCTTTATGTGGGTTCGGTATTTGCCTTTGATTATGGACAGCATTTCAGAAATTGTTTCTTGATCATATTTTGTTATCATCATCTCATCGTCTATGCGCCTGTATGTCGTAGTGCTTTTTCCGTTTGAGGTCGCACAATATCCACTATCGAGTGTGTGTTGTCATATCCTTAATGTCGCAAGTTAATGAGGTATTTAATGTGGCTGATTTACATTGGCTGATATGACGAATATGGGAACGACCAAATCTGCACAGCGGAACCAACTTTATAACAACTACTTTTTTCGCTCATCTGCAATGGACTACCTTGGAACGCATTCATGTGTCACTGTTTAAAATCGATCTTAAGTCGGTGGTGCTTCTAGTTTCCTGCCTGAACATTTCCAGTCCGTTTGGGTGTGCCGACGTTTGGCGTTACTTCTACTGTTGAAGTTTGCGCGTTGATAGTTTTATTATTTACTTGGACCGTAGGTTACAGGAGCCAACAAGGGCATAGGAAAGGCCATCGTAGAGGTGCTCGCTCGTGATCTGCAGCCAGTGTCCGATTGGCACATTTACCTCACTGCCCGCAATGAAAAACTAGGCCACGAAGCCGTCGAAGAGTTGGCTAAAAAGGGTCATTCTGTCAAGTTCCATCAGCTAGACATTACTGACCAAAAAAGTCGCCAAGCCTTGGTCGAATTCGTCAAGAGGGAATATCCAGGTGGAATCAATATCCTCGTGAACAATGCGGCGATAGCGTACAAGGTATGGTGTCAACCTTACTAACCTCTCGTCTAGGCGGCCTCGACAGCCCCGTTTGGGGAGCAAGCCAGGGTGACCATAGCAACGAATTACACGGCCACCGTGAGCATGTGTATTGAGTTTTTGCCTCTAATGGCGAAAAACGGAAGGTAGGCATGAGTTATTTGCTCAAAGACCCCTTTGTAGATTAGTTAATGTGGCTAGTATGGCTGCAGTTATGTCCCTTCATTCGATGAAGAAGGAGATGGCGGATAAATTCAAGGGTCCATTGACTATGGAGGAACTGGATGGTCTCATTGCGTCGTTTGTCAGGTATATTGGTCGTCTTTTAGAGTGTATAAATCACGTATAGTTACTGATGATGAGTTTGACCTCGTGCCAAATGTGTCTGGGTATCTATTTCGTACTTTTAAAAGCAGGGCTTTTGGTGGCAATATTTACATGTAACGAATAATGGGCTGTGGCGGAATTTAGAGGTGGCGTAAGTCAGTGAGGGAGATTTGCATGTGAATTATACTGCAGCTGTAAACAAAGTAATGGCGTTGGATGTTCGAGGACTGGGTGATGCCCGCAAACTGTGATTTGACAGTTGAAGTACACGTTAGACTGTGATTATTATTATTATTATCATTAGCTGGCATTTCTTGTAGCCACGCTGAAGCTGGCGATCATCAGGCGGCTGGCTTCTCCAATTCCGCGTATGGCATGTCGAAGGTGGGACTGTGGAAGGCGACTGCCATATTGGCCGAGCAACTGAAGTCGGACCCTCGTCACATCCTTATCAACTCGGTGGGTTGTTCTTTTGTGTGCCTGTGTTATTCCTGAGTGCAGTAGGTGTTTTTGCTGACGTGACACCTGAATTAAGACTACAAATTCACTAGCGTTTGTCTATGTTGTTTGATTGTGCCATTACTGATGTTGAATCATGTTCGCGGAAATTGTGGGCGTAATATAATGGACGTCCAACTTGGAAGGCACATGTGAACGCTCGGTGGAACTACGCGTTTTTTCGGTTGTCCAAAGTGTAACGGAAGTATTCTTTCTGGTTTTAGTGCTGTCCTGGTTACGTGGCAACCGACATGTCAAGTTACAAGGGGTACAAGACTCCCATGGAGGGTATGCTTAATTTGTACTTACTCTTTCATGCTTTCCAACTGGCAAATGAAGCCTGTGGAATGATTGTTTCCACCAGGGTTAGCTTAGGGGTATCTGCGAGCCAGGCGGTGTTAGGTGCTTTGACGGGATTGTCCAATGGGGATCGTACAAACAACGACGCACTAATCATTATTCATTTTTACCCATTTTGTGCATGAAGCAATTGAGTAGCGTGTTGACAGGGTTTCCGACTGCTGTGTATATTTCTACGCAATTTGTCTCTGCAGGTGCTGACACTCCCTGCTACCTGGCCACTCTGCCCGAGGGTACCACGGAGCCTTACGGAGAATTGGTCAGTGAGCGCCAAGTCGTTGATGTGGAAAAGGAATTTAAATTGTAGGCCGATGAGGTTTGCTAACGTGCTTCCACCTTCCCGCGTTCTTGTCATTGCCCTATCCTGTGGAAGGTTGTTTTGTGTAGCCGTGCACTCATAATATTTGAGTGAGGTTTGATAATAAATGTTGATTGAATCATTTTGCTTTTTTGGTGTTCGGGACGTCTACTGCTACCATAAGTGGTGCTTTTAATTGCCTTTCGTGCCTCAACAGGACTCAAGCTCGTTCGCGTGAAGTACGCGCAGCCTGTAATTGCAAGTAGAGTTAATGGAGCCTGTGGTTCAGTACGCAGGCTTTGCTGGAGGCCCAGAAGCACGCGTTGAGCAGCTGAGGGAGGGGCGTGGTGGGGTGACGTGGAGGAGCGAGCTTGGGGATCGAAACGGTCTTTCAAGTGTGCACAGACATGCGAGGATGGTGGTTGCTTGAGTCATCCACTCTGACCAGCATCTGTGAGCAAACGACAGCTGTAACCTTCCAACCAATGCAAAACACGAGCTGATTCGCCTAGCGTGATCAGACCACGAATTAAACAAAGTCGCGAAGTCCCTCAATAAGAACCTCATTAGGCAGAGTTCTCAGGAAGTTCTGCAAGTAAATGAATTGGTCATAGTTGGCTGAATGAAAACCAAGCGAATGTGCCCGATATGCAGTCAGCGGAAAAGTTAAGTGGAAAATACAAAGCTTCATAATATTGGTCAACCCAAGTTAGTTTCGAAACTTTTGTAGTCTCGAGTTGCAGCCTCCTCGCACGAAGTAACCCGGTTGTTAGTGCATTACTTCAATGTGTGGAAAACTCATTCAGTTAGAATCTTCAAAAACGACTTATCCCGGCCAATTGGTGGCGGTTGGTGTAGCTGATGCTGGTCGACATTGCCTTCACAACTTTTATGTTGTCGGTCATACACCTCGCGGTCTTTTGATCGTGGCAGGAACCAGTCGTGTTGGGTCAGACACTGATTTACCTTCACACAAATGAACTGCGTCCATGTCATCTGGTGAATCGTAAACAAATCGAAGCTTGCACTCGTGTTGAGGGTTAAGACAAATTGCTAGGTGGACTTGCAAATCGGTGTTTAGATGAAACCTTAGGTTTAAAGCAGTATAGCTAGCGAAGAGATAAATTACCGTGCATTGGTATTGTAGTGGACTGTCAGGCTCTCATACCACAGCATTTTGACACGTTATGCAGTAAATAGCACACTTAGACAGATACATAATTCAACAACCAAACCTGCTAACCACCATTCATCTCGAAATAGCCCTTTCCCAATATGATACCACAACTAGTGTTTGACCGTTTTATCAACAGCCGATCGATGCTGTTGATGCTCACCTCAAAGCTTTCCCTACTCTTCGACTGTGATCTTGGCCATTCGCATGGAACGCACCCTCAGCACTAAAGTGAGGCATTAGCTGTGTCCTAATCTTCACTCTTCCTCTCAACGTTTCCACAGTATATTGTTCGCTTCTGTTTGTCGCCCGGCTTCAAGGCCCACACAAGTTAAAGCCTGTAGGATGTTGGTCGCAAGCCCTTTCTTGTGACACGCCAAACAGTTCCCGGGGTAGCTAATCGCACGAAGTTGCCTCCACCAAACGCCCCAACAACTGCTTGCCGTCCTCACCATTTTTGTCGACACCGGCCTGTCTACTTGCGAGAAGTCCCTTACCTTGTCCATCGGCGCTCGTTAAATAGATTGCATTACAAATACACGGTGCACACTCGCATTCGACTGGAGTAGGGTGCGCTTAAGTGCGAATAGCTCCATTTCTGACTCAGCAAGCGGCATAACTAGCCCTGTAGCAGGAAACACTCCATCGGTTGGGCTTTTTGATGTATCCACATTTGAACGCACTGCAACAACCCGAGTCATTTTGAAAGATAATTTCTCATGGTAAGCGACAGTGAATTTGAGTCAATGAATATGGGACACACTGAAGTCACTGATGGCGCTACCGCACCCAACTTATTATTTGGCCGGAATTACCTCTGAATTGGCGAAGCATTACTTAATCCTGTGGATTTGGCGGCTCATGTTTTCCACAGATTGGTGCAGGCTTAAGAGCAAGCATGAATCTGCAACATTTCGAAGTGAATAGTTGTCATTCAGTCTGCAATGACTTTTGTGTACTGCCATCAGTGCTCGAAGAAGATGGCAGCAGCAGTCAGCATTAGGGAAGACCAGGAAATCTTGGTTGGTAATGGTTTATTATCTAACCGACGCGAATTCCACCACGAGACAATCGACTACTCTCCGGGTCACAGGAAAGTTAGTTGATCCCTGCACACCATTCGCCGATCCCGGGTTATTTTAAAACTGTTAGCCAACCATTATACACCTAGAATAGTTACTAGTACATTCCACATTTAAATTGAGCAGTTGACAATGTTTTCAATGTGATTCCTAAGCTACAACGATGTCAATTCTACAGGCCTAGTCCCACTCCACATGCAGCAGATGTAATCGATTGCAATAATAGAACCTACCGGCACTAACTAGAGTCTGTGATATAGATTCACAGCATATTGCCAAAGTCTGCAATACTGACATTGTGAATTCTTTTTTTTCAAACTGAAAGCAAGTAAACTGATTGTTTGATTCTTTGATCTGAGAGAAAACTATCTTTGAAGTCTGCCGACAAAGGCGACGTCTTCCACTTGTGTGCCACAGGGTGCGGGACACTCCTTACAGGTACTTGGATTTGAGTGAATGGCAATTTATGTGGTGGAAACCACACTTCGTGAATATGGGAAATCAAATGCACTGCGTAAGTGAACAAAATTGAATTATCTCTCTTCAGATGAAAGGAAGAATTCAGTGACATGCTTTCAAGTAGACCGAAAAAATCCGAGCGACAGCGTGAGGACCCGTCAAGAGCTTGACACACTTGTGGCTTCTGCAAATGTCTAGCCGCATTGCGACGTTTGGAGTCAGAAATTTTGAAGTTATTTGCATCGTGAGAAGCTCTTTTCAGTAGCCAGTGTGCTCTTCTAAATGAACTTGTTTCAATCCTCTAATGATCCGGCAATTGCATATTGGCAGTGCCAATGGAAGTGTAACAGGCCATTCTAATTATTTACTGTCCTAATTCCGTCTTCAGTTTACACACGTTGGGCATTACGTCAAAGTAAAGGAAACAGGCGTTAAAGCTCTTAGAACCACAGAGAAGTGTCCCGGAGTTTCACCTCTCAACTTACTGAGCCACGAACGTACATCAGAAGCTAAACTCAAGCATGATCATCTAGCGATCCTATTGGTTCCAAAGAGCGCTGAATGTTGTGAGGGACAACCAAGTCAGTGTTTCGGTTGATGACAGTATCATGGTAAATAGCTTAGATTTGTTAAGGGACTAACACAAGAATAAATCGTGCAAATATGCAAACACAGCTCTGGTGATTTGTCATTCAGACCTCCCGCCTACCTCGAGTTCTCCAAGTTCAACCTAATTCCGCCATCTAAATTCACACCTCGTTCTAGTCACAAAGACCAAATGCAATAGTGATCTCAGGCATTACGAATCGACATTATGTGGGTTTGAAGGGGAAAGTGATGCAGGTTGGAGACAGTTCGAACGATATTCTCTCAACAATTAAGTACAAACCAATATAGATGGAAACATCGACTTAGGCAGCCGTTTCTACTAGTATTCCTCAACACCTCATAATGGTGCGGAAATCCACACTTGATCGGTCATTGTCTCACAAGTTAGGAACAAGTACACTGACGAGAAAGGGATTCCACCGCCCTACATTATCACCCAAGTACACAGAGGTCTGCGTGTCGTACCTTACAAAGAGGATAAAAGTGAAGGGCAAAGACAGTGGCTCGCCAGAGCGGCCTCAGCCAAAATGCGTCAATGTTCCATTCAGTTGGGAAGAAGAGTCCACAAAGTCCATCTTCCAGACCAGTTATTTATTTAGGAATATATGGTTCACGTGTAGCACTGATACCCACTCAGAACACTTCATGTGTGATCTAAAGATTCGAATTGATTTTGAATTAACCTCGGTTTTCAGAATCCATTTTCATTCATACAACAGAACAACACGAGCACTCAAATGTGAAATCGAATGTGTAACAACTTGGCTTCTTCAGATGAGAGGAAGCTTAACAGTCATTCGTGAGGTAAAACGGATAGACGCGAAACTGTCAACAAAGAACCACGCACGACAGTTCTTCTAAGACGCCCACCACCTTGTCAACCACATCAACGAATAGCAACTAGCGACGACAGAAACGCACTCTCAACGCCGTCAGCAGGTCCAATACCACATTCACCAGGGGTTGTTTACATTACGGTAGACGAATGTCTTCACCACCGTTCTCGTATACTTAAACGTTGAAATTGAAGCATACAATCAGTGACGTGAATGTATTATTGCAAAACTCTTGAACTGTTTATACAATCAACGCTTTCCTTGCTGCAATCTGATTAAATGAACAGTTCATTCACATTATCACAATCATAAAAATCCAATATACTGAAGCTGATTTCCAATAAGTCAACAACCAACGTTTTGCTAAACTAGGCAATGACGGTTTCGTAGAATGACAGATTATGAGTAATACTGCAGCCGACATGGCCCTGTCCCGGTCAGAAGTAAAAGGGCTTATCGAGGTCGACGATTTTGCGCTCACTGATGAACTGTCCGTGGGGTTCTGTTGTGCCCTCGGGCAGCGTCGCCAGGTAAAACGGCGTGTCGACACCTGCAACATGAGGAGTAACAATCAAACGCCGACCTCCATCGTCCTTTCATGGCCAGGCTAACCAAGATGTCTCTGAAAACCAGGACAATTTATGGGCCCAGCACAAAAAAGCATTCAATAGAGAAACTGCTTGCCAGCAAGGGAGTGAAACAACTTCATTATAATTCAATCTGATTTCTCTTCAAATACAATACATACCCTCTTCGATGGTCTTGTTACCACAGTAACCGGTCATGCCAGTTCGAACGTAGCCCGGACAACACTAAAACGAAATCACCATCTGGTTGGTGACAGGCAAGACGACTTGCCACTAGCCATAGCAACTAAACAACTCGGAAAAAACAATTCAGCAAAAAAACTAGCACATCTCCTTAAAACTACTCCAGATTGCTTAACTCTGTTACCAGATGATTTTTACACTTACTTATACTTTTCAGTAGAGGAGTTAGTTAAAACACAAGGTGTTGGTAAGAGAACAGCAACCGCATTCGAAAATACACGGTGCAACTGCAAGTCCAAAATTGGCAAATATCAGCTCTTTGTACTTAACTGACTTATTTAGTAAAGCAGCAGAAGCAAGGTGAGGGACGGAGCTCAGGAAATAAGAGAAAGGTTCTGCGAACTTCCAACCAAAGGTATTGATTAAAAATGACAAAAGATAAATGCATGGATCATGTTTGCAATACACTCACGTCCAGGCGAACAATTACTAGAAGCCTTACGTGGCGAGAGAAAAACGAAAGCACAACGAGGTGAGGGAACGCACACAATTGATGAGTATATGGCGGGGATCAGACCTGACTTGTTCTGCCAGAATGACCGTCGCCTTGTAAAAGCCCAGCTTAGAGATTCCGTAGGCCGAGTTTGTGAAGCCAGCCTTTCGGTGATCGCCCTTTTCAGCGTGGCTGAATACAGGAATAGGGGGAGTTGCGTATTCAGGTGTTTGGGGTCGCGGAGGACAGGGAACCCCCACCACTTAGACACGTGGTTTATTTGGATTAGTTAGCAGTGCGGCAGAAGAGACCGCCCCGCCATAGCTGATTGGCTGATAACGAAATGTCTAAACAGCTAAGGTCTGACGTGCTGGTCACTGGTTAACCAAGAACTTGTCACAAATCCCATGCTATGCGACGTCTTTAAGGAAACACCCGAAAAATCCATAATCGATCCCAGTTTGTGTGGGATCATCACAGCATGCTTAAGGCGCAGAGCCTGCACTCAGTTAACAACAAGGCGATCTCATATTCTACAATTGGCTTTTGAAGCACTGTGCATCGTATTTTTAGGGTCAAGGTCACAGAACATATCGGATAAAACGGCATCTTTATAGACTATGAAAAGTAGCTAAAGAGGCCAACCTCCACAACGGGAAGTCACGCAAAATACCAATTTTTGTTACGTGTACAATCAAAGATCATTGTTATAACGTAGAAACCGCAGTTAAGAGGCCTAGATTTTATGTTCAGACGAATAATCGCTGAATAACACAGAACGTGATGTTGTCGTAGTCGCTTGCTTTAGTTCAGATGATGGTAGCCATTTCAGAGGAGTTGGAATAACTCTGTGGCATTGTTGTGGCTCGTTTTATAGGCGTGTTTAACTACTCTTCTGTAAATTGGTGACGAGATTCCACATACCAGAATACCTGTTCCCTACTGAGTCATATAAGTCCCTTTCTGACATTGGATTTCTCCGCTACTAGGACTTGAAAATATGGGAGTGGTCTGGCTAAATGTTTGATGCCGCAATGAGTACATAATCCAAAACCACACTCACTATCACCGCTATCCGATTAGTCGCAAAACTTTCGTCGATTGAGTCAAAACAAGCAGAATAGCAAAATAGCAGAATGGCAATGACATAGGATCTTACCTCACGAACGAGGCCATGACGGCGTCCACATCGTCCAATGTCATTGGACCTCTGAACATGTCCGATATCTCCTTCTTTACACCCTGGAAAGCCCACACGAGGTCGCCCGTGCACATGTTCACCAGTCTGAAGCAGGTCAGTTTGGAGTTACATTGAGTGAAAGGCCTACCTTGATTCCTTCGCCATGAGAGGGAGGAATTCGGTGCACATTTTTACGTTACTCGTATAATTAACGTTCACGGTTACTCTTGCACGCTCTCCAAAGGATACGGAAGGATCACTCTAGGTGGAGAAAAGCATTAAGTAAGAATAAGTCCACCAAAGCAAAAATCGATCTGATTCAAAGCACGAAAGGGCTTGTTCGTGAGAGTGAGACTAGGCATGTAGTATTGACAGCGTTGTAGCTTAGGAATCACTTCGAAAGCATTACGCGTTGATTGAAATTCGAGTTATGACGGGGCACTGTCAGAGTAATGCCAGACCACCGCCACAGCTCGAAACAGGCGGTCCAGTGTCTGAGCCGACACCTTCACCTGACCCAGTGAAACATCATCGTGACACATTAACCGTGCTCAGTTTACACACCAAAGCTTTCATGTTCCTTGTTATAAAACAAATTCGTGCTTTTGCAGGCACGTTCATCGCGTGATGAAGTGACGTGCTGAGTTCACGCAGTTGTGCAAAAAACCTGGTTCGACAGCACCCGTGAGATGACGTAGAAGGTTGTAAAAAATACGAGACTTCAGCAGAGAATAAACTCTGAACAAAACCACTTCCTCCCTTGAGCAAATAACATTTGTTAAACAATTTGATTTGAAAAGAACACGGTTTTAAATCCACTTTCCGGGGAGGAACATTGACTCCGGCACATTTAACAGCCTCGGAGGCGACTAATACTTGTGGCACAGATTAATTAATCATAAAATGAGAAAAAACACCTTTTAGGATGGACTTTCTGTTTAACTAGTGAGTCAAGATATCTTCGGGTTTCCAAGTTAACTAGTTAAAATCCAGACAATCGTTTATATATATTTAGACAAAAGCCTTACGTCATACAGGATGCCGGCGTTATTAACAAGAATGTGAATTCCATCAGGGTAGTGCTCTTCAATAAACTGTGCCAGGCGCTTGCGACTCTCCTCACTGGTGATATCGAGCTGGTGGAACTTGACAAAGAGACCCTTTTCTTCTAGTGACTTAACGGCCTCAAGACCCAACTTTTCGTTCCGAGCAGTCAAGTAGATATGCCAATCCGAGGCTGGCTTAAGCTCCCGTGCAAACCGCTCGACCAATCCTTTGCCAATTCCGCGGTTGGAACCAGTGACCTATAACCAATAAGGGCCGACTGTGCTTTTAATGTAAGTTTAAGTCCACTTTAACGTTATGGTAATAAATTCGTCATAAAATCAATACTATTTCAAACATTAACTTTAGAAAAAACGGGCACACAAGTATTTCAAGACAAACTACTCAAACGATATTCAAGCAGTATACCAGTTGGAACTTGCATAAGATAGAAAGCGCGGAAACAGCTGGGGTGGAAAATACATAAGTTTAAAGTTACGTATACACAACTCTGGTTTCGTAAATTAGCTAGTGCGGGAATCAGCATTGGCCGAAGTGAGGACCCGAAATAATCGTTTTCGCATGCCCCGCAATGCAATCCTCCAGTTTAAGAACTTGCTAAATGAGGGCATTTGTGTGATTCAGATATATGAAACGCATTTCCCTCAAGTATCATAACAGTTAATTTGGCAAAACAATTCGAATTACACCACCTAAAGAGGCAGACTACATTAGAAGAGACGTTAATAATGTAACAAGTTGAGGCTAAGACGAAATGTTCTGTCCTAACCAAATTAAACGTATTTGTGCTGCCTATAGCTTTAATATGTCGTTACCGTTTTAAAATTTTCATACAGATGAGAGGACGTCTCTGATCCATCAACCATCCTTTCGAAATCATTGCGTTTCATTATCATGGCATGTTGTCTTACAAAACTGTTCATGATTTCACCGCTGACGCGGAAACTGCGGCCGATAATTCACATTCCTGAGGAATGTCAATCAATGTCCTAGCTTTATGGCTCAATAGAGCAAACTTCTAGCGTCAAGTGGCTTAGATCTGTATTGCTACGTTTGACGATATGACAAAGTTATTTTCGTAAGCCCCTGGTTACTTTGGCTAAACTACCACTACGCCAATTTAATTTATGTCAAAGAGTCTATCATAACAAAATTTAAGATAAAAGCCTCGTCCAGTAGGCAGTACCATCATGCCAACGTGCATGATTAAGGGCTAAAACACCCAAACGCCATGGGATTCGGACGGAAAATTGACATTTTGACAGTGTTTCAAGGCAGAGGATCCTCAAAACAATTGTTATTATTTTAAGAACTTATTTTACTGTTAAACCCTTCGCAGAGACAGTGAAACAAAGGCTTCCACGCGTAGACCTTATAAACATTAATCTTAACAGTTCTGATATTCGGCCTACAAGGCCCTTCAGTAGTCTGTAGTTAATATTTTGCTTAGACATGCCGTACGACTGTATTATTGACACATAAAAGTTTGGTGCTCTTTATGAAATAACACACGTCCTTACTATGAAATGTCTTTCCAGTTAACATCACATCAAACATGTCCATTGCATTTTTATCTGATCGGGCGTAGGTACAAACCCAAAGCAGAAAAACTGATAATTTTCAATGAGTATTCACCGTTTGTTTCAGATTCGAGGTAATGGCATTTAACCAGACTTGGCGGCATTCAATTCGATTTATTTAAGAAGATTCGTTAATTCTAGGCCTAACACTAAAAGGGCAGGCAGAATTACAAAAAAAGAGCATGTCCTTTAATCATAAGCATGATGCTAAGTATTGCTTTAAAAATGATTGAAATGGGCGACATACAATCGCGACCTTCATCCTTTGCAGCAAAGGCACAGACGCTGTAATTATTCGTAGTTGATGCACGCGCCATCATCTTCGTCCTTCACGATGACTAGCTACAAAATTCATCCAATTGATTGGCAAAATTGATCAGTAACGAATCATAAATAAGTCAGTACTTGGATCACTTTAACCCACACATTAAGATGCTTGATTAACTTCCTTTATGCATTTCTTACGTTGATAGTTTTCGCGAGCCTGATGGGATGACTAAACTTGGAAGGACTCTTCGCAATAATAACTCTCATATTTTTGGAGAATGGAAAACAAAAGATACAGTGTGTAAAGCACTTTAGTTGGTTAAAAACCTATTAGTATGCACAGATGCCAAAGTTTTTCTTATTACGTAATTTAAAAAGAGGTAACCAGTTTTGAAACGCTGACTGCGATAGAATTATTCGAACATGTGATGTCACACCTATTAGAACAATTACAGGGTTGTTTAGTTTCTAACTACATAGGAATGACGAAAAATAGTGAGGCAATGTATTTGCTCACAAACTAATTATACGGGACCGTAGGTCCTATGTAAGCAGATTTGTCAATAAACTGAGGTCAGAATAACACTGGGTTTCTCTAATGAAAAGCGGATTTTTTTACGCAAAGTAATGATGTTTCCCAATTGTGTTAAATGACCTATTACAAGAAATTCCTGAAGAATCGCCTTATTCAACTACGAAGTATTTATAACTACACGCTATTCTTTTTAACTTTTATGCAAGTGATTTTGGGGTTGTTTTATGCAGTTCAGATTTTTAGCGGTCATTTTACCATGGGCTGGTGTGACGCGCTATTCGGCCAATGCACGTCAGTCTAGCCTGTGGAGCGGTGTGGCCGATGATCACCATCTTGGTGCTCAGCCATTGGTCGAGGAGGAAAAGCTAGCCATGATGGCGGTGCTATATGGTCTGTAGCGTTGTGGAACACCCGATCCCTAATATAAGACTTGTACAACAAAATTGGTTTTTCTGGCCAATCACAAGCCATTATCCTTCGTTATTCGCCATCTATCCGAGTCCTCCACGCTGGCTGCGCCATTCATTATAAACTGGTTCTCGTTAATGTCTCTCTAGATGGCTGCATATCTTCCTTGCATGCCATTCGAAGGCAGATAGAGAATAGATTGGCTGAAGCCGGTGTGGTCCATGATGTTTAAGCCCTAATATGTTGTTACAGCGTAAATTTTGGTTCCATGTGGCCATGTGGGCATCGAATGGCACACCTGGAACTGGAAGCCAAACCCTTAATGAGTTGTCTGTCGTCATTATAGGATCGATAGACGGATCAATAGGAGAGCAGGACAAGCCTAAAGAGGCTATATAAATTCCATTTTTGCCCCTTTGAAGCCGAATTCGACTGTGCTAACCATCAATCTCCAATAAAGGGTATTTCTTTTCTCCTTTCACGTTTGTATTTACAGTGGGTCCAAAATCTATACCTGTCTGTAGTGATGTATAAGGATGCCAACATTGCAGATCACACCGAGCTCACCCAACTCTTGGCCTTTGGGTATTCGAATGACCCGCATTGATGACCAACGGCCAACCGGAGACAATGAGTGGAAATAACTATATAATGGGCTTCGGAACTAGTGTAGAGGACCGGGATGGATGGTGCCTGACGTACTATTCTAGCTTGTGTTGATTAATAAAGCCTTTTCTGATGTATCTGTTCGGATATTCCTCGTGTTCTCTGACATCCCGCATCCCTCCACCTTTCTCAAGTCACCTTTGTGGGCCTGACGGCCAACCTTGACCCCTTCTACATACAATTTTCCCTATTTTCACACCAACCCTTTCTCTTTGGTCTAGTTCCTCTATTTACAAACGGTTGTCTAGGATACACTAACGCATGTCGTTAGTGGGAAAAAGCTTCGATAAAGACTCAATGACCTCGCTTAAGATCTTATCTATTTGATATCAATGCACGGCTATTTGGCTTAAATGTGCATTAATTTTGTTCACTGTCCGTTGCATAGAATTCAACTCATTTAATGTCGCTGTACTAACTGTTAGGCCCACACGGGGTGTATCGATCACACAGAAAGCCACAGAAAAATTGGATTTGTGGTTCAAGAAAGACAAGTCAATCGGTATCTGAAATAGCATCTGGTCCCTACAAAAACTTTATGCGTCAAGCCAGGTTGTCAAACAAATATGCGAATGTCGACTTTGAAGTTGTTTCATTAAGCATTTTAATGCACCTGAAAACAATACAGTACTGAATTAGGTAGATGAAGCAGCATTCTGTACATAAAGTGTTAAATTTAATTTAATGCGATTGACAGTTTCAGTATTAAAAGCCAAACTGAGGTGAGTTAGAAAACGCCTTATTGTTACCAGACGACTAGGCTGAAATAACAATGACATTACAGTTTGGGATTCGATTTTTCGGTTGTGTAGTCGGTTACTGGGACAAAGGGGGCCTAATTTTGATCCGGTAGAAAAGCGTTCGCCTCAAGACTGGCTTGGGCCTTAAGTGGATCAGAGTAGGCCAATGTCTTCATCCTCTTTGTTCGGGAAATTCGCAGGGATGTGAACAAACACAAGGCAATGAAAAGAACCAAGACTATGGAAAGGATGGGCACGAAAACCGAAACCATCGATTGTCCACCTTCAGAAGCACCGGCACTTGACGACACCTGGAGTTTTCGGGCTAGTTTGAGGGGGTAATTATAGCGACAAATATGATCATCCGAACAGACTCCCGGCTCACACTTACCCATTATGATCGAGTTGTTTGACTGGGGAGGGTTGATGAAACTTTCATAACTCACGATTCCACCTTGAGATGGTGGACCAGGAAGCACTCGTAGCACACTCATATTCTCTCGCTGAGTACATTGACTGCAAATGAACTGGATTGGTCTCCCCAGGCACCCAATCAGTCGAATGCTTTTAAACGAAGGTCCAAAGGTGAGGAAGTGGTCGAACGTGGAAGCACAGCTTAGCACTAGATTCTCCAACATAGGCAGTCCAAGGAGGCTGCATGCCTCAAGAGCTAGCGGGGCCCTCCAGGCGTGGAGAGTTTTCAAATTCGGGAGACCAGCAAGGGCGAGGGCGTCAATCAGTTTTGTTTGGAGTGGAAGATTCAGCTGAAGCTTAACTACCTGACCACCAACTTGCAATTGGCTCAGACCATAGGGTTCAATTACCATCCCAAGTAATCCTGTCTCTCGGCGGATAGCTTCCAAGCCGCTAGAATCTCCAATTCGAACACTGTCCCCCAGACGGACACATAAGACAGGGTGAAACACAGATTTTGGCAAATTCTTTTTGTCTGAGGCGCAACGAAAAGTTATGACCGCCCCAGACTGACGGTAGCCACAAAAACACTTGGTCTCTAGCTGTCCTACAACAGACAACGCGGCTACTGCTATCGAGTAGATTAGAAAATGCATTGTGATGATCATCATTTCCGCATTCATGACATGACCAGTTTGGTACTCCGTGAATCTGGGTCTTTAAACAGCGTTAACACGACTCCTGTGTTTGCTGTCAGTACCAACCAATCAGGTTGACAAAACTGCCTATTCTGTGACCAACCCCATCACAGGACCAATTGGCTCCTGATGCCGTTGAATGAGGCTTTGGGGTGTGTGTCTGTTAGGATAGAACAGGAATGATTAATCATACCACTACTAGCCATGTCCCTCATGCACCTGGTCATAGAGACAGTGGTGTCAGATGTTTGGTTTCAGATATCATTCACCATTCTCACTCATTCTGTTGGTGTCAGAATGGTAACCGCGTTATCAAACTGCATCTAGATCAGAGCCAGTGTTGACAACCAAAAATATATGAGAACTTGAGGAAGTAAATGACCGCACAAATCAGATAGCATTTGAAAACATGGGTGTTCTGAATATTTAAATTAATAATTTGTCTGTCCTACAAGCCACTTTTTTTTCAAGTATTCAGGATTGTTGGCTATCCCATTTGCTTGCATTGCGCATTTCCTGAAAATGTGCTTCAACTCCCTTTGGGAAATACGGGGCTACCATTTTCTGACCTTCAAATAGCGTAGTTAAACAATTTTATTTAACAGCATATAAGCCTGTGAAAACAGGTCATTTATGAGAGATGTCCATTACTGCTCAAAAGATGATATTTACCGATGACGGCCTTTTGTATTCGCCCTCCTACCCCGTGCTCATATACGGAGTGTGGCCAATCAAATTCTAGCATTTCGGGACCGAGTTTTTCGGCCAAGATTCTAGGTGTACATTCCCCAAGTAACTTAAATTTCCTTTTTAAGCCCTCTTACTCACTCAACATGACATTTATTTCATTCACCTTTCTAATAATACTTGTTTGGTTTTAAAAAGCAGAACTAGTAAGCGCAATACTGGCCATGTGGTTTATGCAAATCATAAAAGCGACTGTTGACAGCTGACCTATTTCAAAAATGTGGTTTCGTGGTTAAATAAAGATAACAATTTGAAATGTGTCATGATTTTCCATCATTTGAATGCGATATACCATGGTAAATCAAAGTGTCAACAATTCTTCTGTAATCCTCGACGTCGTAAGCCATTTTGATAGACCACCTCTCCAAGTGCTTTATTCGATTAGGATTATTTTTCACTTGAATATGAACTTAACTGCACCGCTTTTGCCTTTGACCGTTCCCGGATACGCTAACTCCACGCAGCTGATGCAAGTGACCCGATCATAACCAACTTTGATGTTGTTCATTTGCAATCACTCATTTCTAGGATGTGCAGGCGACAACTGATTTCCTGATTTTGGGCGGGAAATTCAAAATTGTTTGATTACCCGAACGTCCATTAATTGTAAAAGTCTGTTTCCAGCACATACACCCTTTTGGAACATAAAATTTCTTTGTAACTCGTGGGAAATGCTGTTTGTTGCCATTTAAAAAAAGGACTTAAATTAGACTACGCTAGTACAACATGATTCTTCTGTTTCTTGATTTGAAAATAATTATGTATTGTCAAATTTGACAGCCGTTTTTGAATGGAATGATTCACATGCAAGCTGTAACTAGGTAGCCAAACCCTCGTTATGCTATTCCGTTAGCTATGCCTAATGCAAATATGCGGCCGGTTTTATGCTCTATTTTAACCATTCCTTTGAATATGCATTAAGAAGTAAAAATGACTTGTAGCTATCGCTAAATTAGGCAATTTTTTTATATTCCCTTACTCAAATTCCTGTTGGCGTTTTGGTGAAAAAGGCTTAGAAACTGCATAAAGTAAAGTTCTGGGTACTGGAGTTCAAATATCACCTCTGGCAGTAGGTGTTGCCAGGCAACTCTGATCTGCTAAAAATCTTAGTTTGGCATTTGGGATTTTTCGCTAGACTGGTCTTGCTAACGTGTGTATGTATAATGCTTTTGTAAATAAGGGAGTAGGCCAGTTTTATTACTTTTATCAATTAATAGTAGAACTAGCAATAGGAGACGACATTTCAGTGAATTTAAAATTATCGTAAGCAGCGCCTTTCCATCATGTTCAAAGCCGCTATTGTTGAAAGTTATAAACGTTGTGTGCACATGATGAGAGGTTAACTCTTTATTAAGGGATTTTAAATTTCGGGATCAAAAGGTTTTTTTAACATTAATTTCATGAAATGTAAGTTTTTAATGATCACGTCTTCATTAAGACCTAAATTTTATGGCTCAATCAGAAAAGCCCAGGATACAGATCCATAATGCCATAAAAATACAACTCAGACGAGGCATTTAATTTAAACCATCTTATATGTTTTTAAAAAAACACCATTGCTTAAAATCGAAACACACTATTCTGCAATTAGTTTCCCAAGATTATCGCATTCTTTAAGTAAAGTGGCTGGAGTTTTGTAAGTTGAAAGATCTTGTATTAAAAATCGATAAGCTTATTGATTAAATATATATTATACGCAAAGGAGTTAGGTCAACATGTGTTGATATTTGACGTAGTCAATAGAATTTGCCTATAATACCACGGACAACCGCAATAAAAAATTAATTTACTAAACGTTAAGCCGCGGCATTAGTATCAAATTCATGGTGTACAAAAAAAATCAAATTCTTCCATTTTAAACTGTTTAAATGCCTATTAAATTAACAATATAACCCATGACCGTGTGCTTTTTATAGTCAGATATCAGGGTGCAAACGGAACTATCAAATGACAAAAATAGCGACTTATGCAAAACGTAATCTGTAAAGTGCAACTTGGATGCTAGTGAAGTAACGTGACCATATTTCTAAAACTTAGAGTTACCAGAGTGTCTTGCGAAAGGTACGTAAAAGTCGATTTGGAAAATTTTTTGGGGTAACGCAGTTGCAATGGTACCCTTAGGTATTAAGCCATTCTAAATGTTCTTGTGCACTACTTATTCACACAATTGTCATCGAATAACTTCAAGAGTCACAGTTAGAGCGGGCAGCCATGCCAGATTATAAAAAGATTGATTACTAAATTAAACCTGAGGCCAGTGTTTCCACTTTTTAATTTGCTCATGGGAAAAGTAAACGTGCTTTTGTTGATAGGTCAAGAGGGATGATCCCTCATATTTCAAGGTAATAGCTCATTACATGGAACTTAAAACGGTCAGTTACAGAGACGGTCACTGTAAAAGCAAACGAGGTTACTATGTGGGAAGAATGAGCACATGAAACGCTCAAGTAAGATGTGCGGAAATATCTTAGACACATTGCTGTGGCACACACACACACACACACATACACAACCCCATACACGTGTGTCCGTTCACACCCCAAATAGTGGTTTGGGCCCCCTCCGAATTCGTTCTTTTAACGCGCCTTTGTGCCACCACGGTTGCGACCCAGGAAACTTTGCAACGAGGACCAACGTTGAGCACCATTAACAGCAAGGGTGCGTCGTCAGACCATAGCATGTACCTTGCTCACAAAGGATATGATGATTGTTGCAAGACACCTGAGGTTTGATCTGGTGACTAAGACACAAGCAACTTCTTTTTGTGCCAAAAAACTACTTTTCTTTCAAACGATGTTTTGTTTTTTGGTGGGACCAAAAAAGCTACTCTGACTCAGTTGCGATCCTAAAAAAACACATGCGCCGTCTACTGGGACGGTCAGTGTGAAAAAACTTTAAAATCTACAACTGCTGAAGGTATGGGAGACTTGGGGTGTAAACGAAAAGGCTGACGGTCCAGTGAGAGGTAAAAACTTAACTCACCGTGTTTCTTTCAGAAAACGAAGGGACACACACCGATTAGTAAGCGAAACGGTGTAAATTCACACGTAGATGGGACAAAAGGATCCTGGAAACTACTGTTTAATTTGCTGCTTGAAACTGCGCACAGGGGACCGTGTTTAGCAAGTGCTGGAACTTGAGTAAATTAAACAAAGGCAGATGTGAAACTGCAGCAATCAAATGCGACATCAAATTGTTAGCAAATACAACGATCATTGCAAGGCTACAAAACTTAGGTGGCCTTCATCTCATGACGATAATTACACCTAAATTAAATGTTATAGGGGTTTAGACACTCAAATAGCGACAATAAATAAATGAGATCACCAAAACCCGCAAATGAATTTTAGAAAGTCGTTGAGATATGAGAAATCGGGCAAAAAGAGTTCCAGCAACGATTAAAGATAGAAATAGGGCAAGGTAATTAGTTACCATTCTTCAATAAATACGGAATAATGTGAATTGATTTTATATCAGGAGCCAAAATTATTCTAAACTTACCATTAAATGTTAAATTAATGTAGAGTGTTCGGTGGAATACGCATTTAAAAATTGCTCCGGTGGGTAGTTCAGGAGAGCCTGCTCAAAATTCATCGTCAAGTTCAAGCGCTGTGGGAGTTTGGAGCGCTAGAATGGAACCAACCATTCACATAGAAATTTCCTGTTGCAGATTTAGTAGATCTGTTGAAGTCTACCGAACAGATGTGTTTTTGATTGGTTAAAATACAAAAGTGCTGTGGTTCGTATAGACGAAGACGGACGACATTAGAACATGGTAAGTCAAAGCGACTTTTACTATGTTCAATAGAATCTACTCGCACATTGCATACGCTACAACTGAAAACGGAGCGTGTACTTTTCCTTTGGAAATACTCTCGCTGTAAAACGCTTGCTACTTCTGTATCATTTTTGGAAGCACGAGAAATGTCCATGTGGAGGTACATCGCTGTATCCCAAGTACTTTTTTCACTAGACACTGCCTTTTGTTCGTTCAGTAGTCACAATGGAGCCAATGCTTTCGGCAAATCATTAGCTGCCTAACCCACTACAATTTAATACCTCTTCCTCAAATATGAACTATTCGCGATGGTAACTTAAACTAGCAGTTACTGAATTCTTGCTTTTCCCAAATGAAGCACGCCGAACTAGAGAATTTCGAATCTTCCATTTACCTGTTATCCGTAGTCTTCCTATTCCAGCAGCCCATTATTTAAGATGGTCCCTAGCATATGGTGGGCAGTTTTTTTGCATCTGTCGTCAGTGTTCGAAATACACAACACAAGAAGGGAAGCAAATTCTGTCAGCTTGAATTCTGACAGCTGTAGTGTCAGAGAGAGGACAGGTGCCATTAGTGAAATGCCAGAGGAGTTGTGTGGGCACGTTATTCTGATATCACGAATTCGGTTCAGTAGAGACCCGAGGAAATTCTAAAATGCAGAAATTTTGTCCAAATTAGACCCATATTATTTACTGCAAGGTGGACGACCCTTACAACCGCGAAGGCAGGGTCTTCCGAAGAAAATAAAATATTACTAGTTTCCTTAAATGGTAGGAAACTAATAAGTAGTAATAAACCAAACAATTTTCACATTTTTTAAAACAGAAACAAACTTTGAATTGTGGTTCCAAAAAAGGATGTGGATGTACTTCCATAACCGACGTTTGATATTAAAAGAACCGCATGCTAGCTTGCCAATAAAAATTCAAACAATAATGACGATGTTCAAGGAGATTCCATCCAGCGTGGTACAAATCGCTTTGACTTACCCTGTTCTAATGACGTCTAGCTTCGTCCACACCAATTACAACACTTTTGTATTTAAACCACTTCAAAGCAAGTCTCTTTACTAGTCTTTTCCATACCCATCGGTTAAGAAATAGAAAATTATATACTTATTGAACGGGTTCCGTTCAAGCCCTTCGACAGAACTTTGCCTTTTAGACGATCACACAATTAAAGGAAAGCAATATTTAATAAGCGGGACATACTGAGGAGTTTAGACCGGTTTCACTGGATCTATCCACAGATGCACTTAGTCACTGTTTATTCTTAACTATCCAGACGGCTGCGGGAATTAATGGATTGTTTAAGCATAGTTCGGTTAATGATGCTTTTTCTTGCAAATCGCAACAGACAAGGCGTCTGTTGAAGGGAGTACCTTCGATTCAGGTCTAATCGATAAACATTGACTTTCGCTTTGAGCGGTGATTAGCCCAACACACTAAGTTCTCCAACTCATCTCCACCTGCTGATGAATTGAGCCACTGCCATCATCAATACAGCACTAAGTTTTGTGCACCAGCAAATCGACTTCGCTTTCTCAAGAACAATCCATCTATCGGTAAAACCGTGTTCTTTGGATGTTCTGCCGCGCCCAAAGCAGCGACATGTTGTAGTTGCCAGGTGTTTCGTCGACTTTATCGTGTTCTGTCTCATTTCGTTGACGAGCATATTAATCTGCATTTCAAGTCTCCATTCAACTGACAATCAGGCTAGCAGTAAAGTGAATGCTTCCAATTCATTTGGCCTTAGAGGAAGTTTTGATAGCGAGTTGCGAAATCGCAAACAATTATATGATGGTTACAATGATGGCGACGATGCAGGTTTAAGAGGTAGAAATAGTAATCCGGTGATATAGAGTGGGAATGTGTCATGTGAAACGCTTGTCTATCACCCGATGGCGCGGTACCAGTGGCTGGGATGATATATGGTGCAGAGGGCAACGATAGGTGACAAGACTAACTGATGAGTCGGTGATCGCTGATTATCTCTTCAATTATTGACGGCATTTAGGGCACTTTTACCGGTCGTTTACTTGGCTGCCTGCATTCTACCGGCCAACATGAGTGCTATCTTTGCCCCCGGAAATATAGATCACACGCGACGCGCCACATACTTGGCATTTCGAACAGACGCATTTCTGAGCTAACCGACAGGTATACAAAGTGGCAGATAAACGGATGCCGTGGATTGCTGAAGGAAGGCGACATTGCACGACGCACGCACATCACCGTCTTGAGTTCGTACGACTTAACACGACTGGGATATTAGCTTCAGGCAATAAATCAATGCAATGTTGCACTCCGCCACATTGTTAAAAGTGTCGATCTGGCGATTGCAAGTAAAGTTACGGCTCACTATCATTTGGATCTATAAAACTGCTTCTAGCATTTCGGATGGACTTCAAGACTCCAGAGTAGTTGACTCCAGTTAAAGTGCCGTAAGTGTGTGTGGAGGAGCCTCGATCGATTGTTGATAAAACGGTCAAACACTTGTTGTAGTATTAGTGTCAAAGCCAACATGACTGGTTCCTGTCACGATCAAAAGACCATGAGGAGTATGACGGACAGCACCACGTTTCGTGCAGCATCAAATCGACTTTTCTTTCTCAAGAGCATTCCATCTACATATGATCCAACTACCAGTCAATTACCGGTAAAACCGTGTCCTTTGAATGTTCAGCCGTGCCTGAAGCCGCTAGATGTTCTGGTGATAGGCGTTTCGTCGACTCAACCATGCTGTGTCTCAATTCGATCAATATCTCGTTGACGAGCATATTACTCTCTATGCGCCTTTAATCTGTATATTAAATCTGCATTAAACTGACAAGCAGACCAGTTTCAGCAGAAATCCAGTTGGCGTCATAATTAGACAAGTCGCAAAACTGCAGTTTAATGCTTCTCGTGGTGATGACGAGGGTTTGGATTGGAGAATTAGAATTTATAAACAGGTGAGATGGAGTAAAGAGGTGTCATATGAAATGTTCGTCCGTCACCTGGTGGTACGGTATCAGTGTGTGGAGCGGTAAAATCAGGATGAATGGAGTGGATTTCCACTGCATATAAAACCAACCACAGGAGCACTAAGTTCATTGAGGCAAGTCGCTTGCAGGTTGTTGTTTGGTTCTGTAGTGTCATGATGATGGCGATCAATGTTTTATACTGATTGCCTCAATATCAAGTTTAGTCAACTGAATTCCATAGTGGGCTGTAGACGGTACGTCGACTTGCCACTGCATCCATCTTATAGCTACAAAGAGACTGGTTTGCCCTCGCAAAATGACGTCATGTCGTCAACAGTTTTTGCAAACTTCCTGGGAGAATTAATGCATCCAATGTGTGTTCCAAGATTGATATTCTCATCCAGAGTTTGTAACGTCAATCCTTTCATGCTATTACAAAACATTTATTGTACCCCATAGTCTGAACTCGGTTTATAAAACCTGCCAAAAATGCTTCAGCAGAAATTAAAACGACTAGGATGCCGACGAAGTAATCATATTTACAAAAATAATTGGATTATTTAGAACCCGCTAAATGCCGCTAAAGGTAGGCTGTAGTTAGGATGATTACACAAATCCTACTCGTCACAACCCTAACGGGACCGGGCTTAAACACACTACCCACTCAGTCGAAAGCAACTCAAAAATTCACCTACAATTACCACTTTGAGGACGGTCACCCCCTGGTCCCCATAATTAATGAAGACGTACGAAGGCGAGATAGCATAGACCATCCACCACTGGACCCAAAACCAAGCTAAGGTTACGTTGCCAATGACCGCCGCTTAGAATTTCAGATAATACCACGACCAATACAATTTAAGTCGCCGGTTAATACGCATTTCTAGGAGCCTACATTAGTAATAGCTATTAGGGCTAACCGTAAACTGTCTGCAAGGGAACAGTTCAGTCAGCGGCTGTTAGAAATTTTCAAATGCCTCCGATGAGAGAGGAAATGATTCACAACGCCAAGAGACAGTTCGCAATGCTCCTGTATTGTATGACCCAAAAATAACTATAATACCAGCAAGTATTTAATTCCGTCGCAATTTCTTTATTTAGGCCATGACAGCGAACTGCCGTCGAGGGCAAGAACGCATCTTACGGAGCATCTTTTCAGAGCGAACAGAACGCTCGCTTTTGGAGAGGCGACGGCGAATTGCACGCGTTTTCTTGGGACGTAGATCCTTAGGGACATAGCGTTTCTTGCGATAGATCTCTCGTTGGCGAAGCTTGGCCGATTGATTCATAACCGTGTAGATACGAGCAATTGACTTTCGGAGGACTCGGCTAATAAAAATTCATTACTCAGAAATGCACCAACTACTAAAAGGCCAGAACACTTAAAAAAGGAAACTCACATTTTCCTTAATTTGGAAGCTGCACCCCGCGTAACCCTAAACAGACGCTGGTTAGCAAGTTCGGTTTTTAGTTCAGTCAGCTGCTTCAGCAGTTCAGCCTCAGGCTTCGTCCGCAAATCGGAAGCGTGGACCTTAGACTGAAAAGGAAATACAAACACAATGCTTTTACCAATACATGTCAAAAACAAAAAAAATGGCAAAAGGAAACATGTTGTTGGGAGTTAATGCCATCCTATTAAATACGTAGTATCTAGAGAAAGGTTACGAAGGTCAAAATAACAGATAGAAACGCAGCGAGTACACTGAAAATAAACTCATTTTCACTTTGATAAACCGACGAGTTTGGATTTGCAGTTACAAGTATTAAAAAAAAAGAACTAAACGCGTTGACACCTAGTCAACATTTAGATGGAAGAATGCGAAAAACTTCGCAAAGACGCACCATGCTCACAAACGATTCGAAAGTTCCGCGAAGTGAGGTTAGTCGACATAAACTACGGTTGGAAACAGTTTCACACTAAGAAATGTGCTTACAAATAATTTTAATAACTCACTTACTTTAAAAAAGCTTCATGACAAAATTTATCATT